AGCTTCCCCCCACACCCCGCCGCAGCCCCCAGTCAGTCCTCCCATAAATCCTGTCATCTCTTTCAGCTAATTGTTCAGCTGAGAACTACAAAACACTGCTGGGAGAAAGTAGACTCAAGTCAATAGAGACATATACGGGCGGCCCTCTGTATCCACAAGTTCCGAATCCGCAGACTCACAACCAAGGATCAAAAATACTTGGGAAAGGGCTTCCCTGGTGGCGCAGTGGTTGAGGGTCCGCCCGCTGATGTGGGGGACGCGGGTTCGTGCCCCGGTCTGGGAAGATCCCACATGCCGCGAAGCGGCTGGGCCCGTGAGCCATGGCCGCTGAGCCTGCGGGAGGGGCCTCAGCAATGAGAGGCTCGCGTGCCACAAAAAAAAAAAAAAAAAAAATGCTTGGGAAAAAAAATTTTTTTCCAGAAAGCAAAACTTGAATTTGCCACGTGCCAGCAACTATTTACATAGTCTTTACACTGTATTTACAACCATTTACAAAGCGTTTACTTTGTGTAGGTATTATAAGTAAACAAGAGATGATGTAAGTACACAGGAGGACGTGCATAGGAGACATGCAAATACCGCACCATTTTATATAAGAAACTTGAGCATCCTTGGATGTATCTGTGGGGGACTTTGAACCAATCCCTCGCGGATATGGAGGGATGACTGTATCATGTTCATGGACTGGAAGACTGAGCATTAAGATGTCCATTCTTCTCAAACTCATCTTTATTTTTTCATGCAATTTTTAAATGTTACTTTCCACTTACAGTTATTACGAAATATTGTCTATATTCCTCGTGTTGTACAATACATCCTTGAGCCTATCCTATACCTAATAGTTTGTACCTCTTACTCCCCTACCCCTATTCTCCCCCTCCCCCCTTCCCTCCCCCCACTGGTAACCACTAGTTCGTTCTCTATATCCATGAGTCTGCTTCTTTTTTGTTATATTCACTAGTTTGTTGAATTTTTAGATTCCACATATAAGTGTTATCACACAGTATTTGTCTTTCTCTGTCTGACTTATTTCACTTAGCATAATACCCTCCAGGTCTATCCATGTTTTTGCAAATGGCAAAACTGCATTCTTTCTATTGTATATATATACACCACATCTTCTTTATCCATTCATCTGTTGATGGACACTTAGATTGCTTTCATATCTTGCCAATTGTAAATAATGCTGCAGTGAACATTGGGGTGCATGTATCTTTTCAAATTAGTGTTTTTGTTTTCTTTGGATATATACCCAGAGTGGAATTGCTGGATCATATGGTAGTTCTATTTTTAATTTTTTGAAAAACCACCATACTATTTTCCACCAACTTACATTCCCAAAATAGTGTACAAGGATTCCCTTTTCTGCACATCTTCACGAACATTTGTTATTTGTAGTCTTTTTGATGATTTTGACAGCGTGAGGTAATATCTCATTGTTTTGGCAGTGTGAGGTAATTTTGACAGTGTGAGGTAATATCTCATTGTTTTGAATTGCTTTCCTCTGACGATCAGCAATGTTGAGCATCTTTTCATGTGCCTGTTGTCCAGCTGTTATATCTTCTTTGGAAAAATGTCTATTCTGCTCTTGTACCCTTTTTTTTTTTTTTTTTGCGGTACACGGGCCTCTCACTGTTGCGGAGCACAGGCTCCGGACGCGCAGGCTCAGTGGCCATGGTTCACGGGCCCAGCTGCTCCGCGGCATGTGGCATCTTCCCGGACTGGGACACGAACCCGTGTCCCCTGCATCAGCAGGCAGACTCTCAACCACTGTGCCACCAGGGAAGCCCTCTTGTACCCATTTTTTAATCAAGGGGCTTTTTAAAATATTGAGTTGTATGAGCTGTTCATATATTTTGAATATTAGCCCCTTATTGGTCATATCATTTGCAAATATTTTCTCTCATTTGGTAGGTTGTCTTTTTTGTTTTGTTGATGGCTGTCTTTGCCATGCAAAAGCTTTTAAGTTTAATTAGATCCCATTTGTTTATTTTTGCTCTTATTTCATTTACCTTGGGAGACAGATGCAAAATATATATATATATATATATATATATATATATATATATATGGCTACGGTTTATGTCAAAGAGTGTTCTGCCTATGTTCTCTTCTAGGAGTTTTGTGGTTTCCAGTCTTACATTTATGTCTCTAATCCATTTTGAGTTTATTTTTGTATATAGTGTGAGAAAATGTTCTAATTTCATTCTTATACATGTGGCTGTCCAGTTTTCCCAGCACCACTTATTGAAGAGCCTGCCTTTCTGCATTGTGTATTCTTGCCTCCTTTGTCATAGATCAATTGACCGTAAGTGCATGGGTTTATTTCTGGGATCTCTATTCTGTTCCATTGATTTATGTGTCTGTTTTTGTCCCAGTGTCATACAGTATGGTGACGGTAGCTGCAGAGAATAGTCTGAAGTCAGAGAGTATCTGGTCAATTGATTTTTGACAAATGTTCCAAAGCAAGTCAACAGGGAATTCTTTTCAATAAATTGTGCTTGAACAATTGGATATCCACAATTAAAAAAAAAAAAAAAAAGAACCTCAATCTCTCCTTCATAAAATACACAAAAGTTAATTTGAGATCACAGTCTTAAATCTGAAAAGCAGAAGTATAAAACACTTATAAAAAAAGAGAAATATTTTCTTGACCTGGGGAATTAGGCAAAGATAGATGGAACAGAGAAAGCAATAGCCATGAAATAGAAAATTGATAAATTAGATATAATCAGAATGGGAAAATTCTACCCTTCAAAAAACATCAAGTTAAAGAAAATCCTAGCCACGGTCTATTAGAAACTATTTGCAAAACATATAGCTGGGGGGCTCCTCTGGTGGCGCAGTGATTAAGAATCTACCTGCCAATGAAGGGGACACGGGTTCGAGCCCTGGGCCGGGAAGATCCCACATGCCACGGAGCAACTAAGCCCATGCGCCACAACTACTGAGCCTGCATCTAGAGCCTGTGAGCCACAACTACGGAGCCCGCGTGCCACAACTGCTGAAGCCCGCGCACCTAGAGCCCGTGCTCCGCAACAAGAGAAGCCACCGCAATGTGAAGCATGCACACCGCAACAAAGAGTAGCCCCTGTAGCCCCTGCTCGCCGCAACTAGAGAAAGCCCACGCACAGCAACAAAGCCCC